TTCAGGGCACAAACGATAAAAATCAGGTTTTATGTTAGGAGTGCAGCCTATAGTTGGAACAATGTATAATAATAATAATAATAACAATAATAGTAAGACCTGACATGTATATAGCCAGGCACTGGGCTAAGCGCTTTACAAATATTATCTCCTTTGATCCTCACAACAACCCTGCAAGGTAGAGGCTATTATTATCCTCATTTTACATGTGAGGCAAACTGAGGTTAAGTGACTTGCCCAGGGTCACACAGCCAGTAAGTATACATACGTGTGTGTGTGTGTGTGTGTGTGTGTGTGTGTATGTGTATGTAAGCTATATCAGTCATTGCTAACTTGCTCACTTTAGCAAATGAAGACAGTCATAAAACCAAGAGCTGAGTAAATTTAAGAACATGGATCGAGGTGTTAAGTGGTCTCCCACATTTGTGGTCCTGTTACCATCTGCTTAATCTTACTGGGTCTCAGTTTTCTCATCTTTAAAATGGGAATAAAAGTACTCATCTCACAGGATTGTTTATCAAGAGAATTACAGGGGATAATGTGCAGAAAGTTTTTGGGAAAAAAAACCCAAGTATATTATAACAACTTGGAGTGTAAAAGAAAGGCCCTTTGTAGGAGGTGCCTGCAGCTGAACTCTTATAACCATTCCCAAAACTCTGAAGTTCTTTATTGCTGATGGACATTGTGGGATTTTCCCTTTTATCTTTAAACTTTCATTTAAAATGACCATCCTTCATATTTTTGGTAAGCAAAGTCTTTAAAGTAGAAATGTAATCTAAGAGCATTCAGCTCTTTAATATATGGACTCAGCATGTGAATGTGTTGAAGCCAAGTTATTCCATCTGTGATGTTACTATGACAATACATCCATATCTTTTCCCATGAAGTAGATTATATAGCCTAAGGACAACTTTGCGTGGCAGGGGAATGCTGCCAGGTGGAATCAATTTAGTACAGCTAAGGGTTTCTGCATAGACTACCTTGAACTTAAACCATCCATTTATGGAGAACTAAAAGAAACACAAAGGCTATTTTGATCTAAGCCGCTGGTGAGGCCAACAAAGGTCTGTTGAACAACGGAGCAACAGAGGTGATTATGTGTGCCAAGCAGGGTGCATCTAGCCCTGAGATTTCTTTATCTCAGCAGAGTAGCTACTTGTTCATGAAAACAAGTCTCTTAGGTAAGCAAAAATGGAGTAGCATCATTATTAAAATCTTTTGTCTCCCATCTTCGTCAAGTAAGGGGTCCTCTACATTTCATTTATGGATCGTTTGATGCTTAAGTATGTGTGGAAATGATGGCTCAGCTGATTTGGTAGCGAAGTATTCCATGCTAACAGCATCAAAGACTAATAGAAAATGCCTAACTACAGAGGTGATATAGACATAGAAAAGAAAGGCTTAAACCCATTTCAGAGGAATTTTAATTTTCCATATGTTTTAGGAAATGAGGATTTAAAAGGCAAACATGATATTGTTGATTACAGAAGGTACAGAAAGCTTTAGTTAATGTAGCTACCTGGTTTAGAAATAGTAGAATCTTTCAACCTAGAATATAGGATATTCCTTTTATTCCTTGTTCTCCCCCTCTGTCATTTCCTTTTTTTCTTTCATCACTTTCTTTCTTTTTTTAATATAAATTTATTTATTTTTAGTTTTCAACATTCACTTCCACAAGTTTTTGAGTTCCAAATTTTCGCCCCATCTCCCCCGTCCCCTCACTCCAAGATGTCATGCATTCTGAATATCCCTTCCCCTAGTCTGTCCTCTCTTCTATCTCTCTCCCTTCCTATTTTCCCGTAGGGCAGGATAGACTTCTGTACCCCATTTCCTATATTTCTTATTTCCCAGTAGCATGTGAAAACATTTTTTTAAACATATGTTTTTAAAACTTTAGGTTTCAAATTTTCTCTCTTCCTCCCTCCTCACCCACCCTCATTGAAAAGGCAAGCAACTCAATATAGGTTGTACATGTGCAGTTATGCAAAACACGTCCATAGTAGACATGTTGTGAAAAACTAACTCTATTTCCCTTAATCCTATCCTGCCCTCCCATTTATTCCATTCTTTCTTTTGACCCTGTCCCTCCTCAGAAGTATTTACTTCGGATTACCCCCTTTCCCAATCTGCCCTCCTCTCTATCATCCCCCTGCTGTCTTGTCCCCTCCTCTCCCTATTTTCCTGTAGGGTAAGACAGATTTCCATACCCAATTGAATGTGTATGTTATTCCCTCCTTAAGCCAAATCCTATGAGAATAAGATTCACTCATTCCCTCTCACCTTCCCCATTTCCCCTCCACTGTAAGAGACTTTTCTGTTTTTTTGTGAGATAATTTACCCCATTCTACCTCTCCCTTTCTTCTTCTCTGAGTATCATCCTCTCTCATCCCTTAATTTTATTCTCCAGATATGATCCCTTAATCTTCAGCTCACCCTGTGCCCTCTATCTATCTACATATACATACATATAATTTTTTTCCTCCAACTACCCTAACTGACAAAGGTCTCATGAGTTCAAATATCATCTTTCCATGCAGGAATGTAAACAGTTCAATCTTAATAAGTCTCTTATGATTTCTCTTTCCTGTTTACCTCTTCATGTTCCACTTGAGTCCTGTATTTGAAAGTCAAATTTTCTATTCAGCTCTGGTCTTTTCATCAAGAATGCTTGAAAGTCCTCTATTTCACTGAATGACCATTTTTTCCCCTGAAGGATTATACTCAGTTTTGCTGGGTAGGTGATTCTTGGTTGTAATCCTATCTCCTTTGCCCTCTGGAATATTATATTCCATGCCCTGCGGTCCTTTAATGTAGAAGCTGCTAAATCTTGTGTTATCCTGATTGTGTTTCCACAGTACTTGAACTGTTTCCTTCTGGCAGCTTGTAATATTTTCTCCTTGACCTGGGAACTCTGGAATTTGGCTACAATATTCCTAGGAGTTTTCCTTTGGGGATCTCTTTCAGGAGGAGATCTGTGGATTCTTTCAATTTCTATTTTGCCCTCTGGTTCTAAATATCAGGGCAGTTTTCCTTGATAATTTCTTGAAAGATGATGTCTAGGCTCTTTTTTTGATCATGGCTTTCAGATAGTCCAATAATTTTTAAATTCTCTCTCCTGGATCTATTTTCCAGGTCAGTTGTTTTTCCAATGAGATATTTCACATTGTTTTCTAATTTTTCATTCTTTTGGATTTGTTCTACTGTGTCGTGATTTCTCATAAAGTCACTATCTTCCAATTGCTCTATTCTAATTTTTAAGGAAGTATTTTCTTCAGTAAACTTTTGGACTTCCTTTTCCATTTGGCCAATTTGCTTTTTAGGGCATTCTTCTCCTCATTGGGTTTTTGGACCTCTTTTGCCATTTGGGTTAGGCTATTTTTTAAGGTGTTGTTTTCTTGAGGTTTTTTTGGGTCTCCTTTAGTAAATTGTTGACTTGTTTTTCATGATTTTCTTGCATCACTCTCAGTTTTTCCTCTACTTCCCTTACTTGCTTCTCAAGATCCCTTTTGAGCTCTTCCAAGGCCTGGGACTGATTCATATTTTCTTGGAGGCTTTGGATGTAGGAGCTTTGACTTTGTTGTCTTCTTCTGGTTGTATATTTTGATCTTCTTTTTCACCAAAGTAAGATAACATAGTCTGACTCTTTTTGCTCTGGTTGCTCATGATCCTGGCCAGTTACTTGAGTTTTAAACTCTTTGTTAAGGTATGAGTCTGCTTCCAGTGTGGAGAATGTACTGTCCCAAGCTTCAGGGGTTTGTACAGCTGTTTTCAGAGATACTTGTAGGGACCTGTAAATTTTCAGTTCTTCCAAGGTGGTATGATAAGGGGCGAGGTGTTTACTCCTTTCCTGGCCTGTGACCACAAGTACTCCCTTCTGTCCTGTAACTGTGAGGAGGGGTTTCTCTGCACAGCCACTACAAGCTCTACCAGGCCAGCACTCCTCCTCACTCCAGCACCACGCCCAGAACTGTGACCCAGATCCAAACACAGGCAAAGCAAGAGATTCCTGCCTCAGCACTGGCAAAGAGATCCCTGCAATCTCCCTCTGATCAGCTTCTCGATTCCCTTTCAGTCTGTGGGCAGGAAGCTCGGGAAGCAGCTGCGCCCCCACAGGGCCACACTCTTGGGGAATGGAGCTGAGACCCCATCTTCCTTTCTCAGCGCTGACAGAAACAGACTTTTCCCACTGACCTTCTAAGTTGTCTCTGGCAACTTAGATTGAGGAGTCTGGAAACCTCCACAGCTGCCCGAGATTCAGTCCTCTGAGGCCTGCTCCAGGTTTGCTGCAGCCTGCACTCCCAGCCCATCGCGATACACCTTTCTGATCAATCATCCAGGTTGTCTTGGGCTGGAAATTTGTTTCACTCTGTCTTTTTGTGGGTTCTTCTGCTTCAGAATTTGTTTAGAGCCATTTTTTATGAGTATTTGGAGGGGTTTGGAGGAGAGCTCAAGCAAGTCACTGCTTTCACTCTGCCATCTTGGCTCCACCCCTCTTTTTTTTTAAAAGGGAAATGAAGGTCATTTTATATTTTCTTTTCAAAATTAATTTTTATTAATTTATTTTGAGTTATCAACAATCACTTCCATAAGCTTTTGAGTTTTAAAATTTTCTCCCCCTCCATTCTCACGTTCTTGCCCGAGATGGCAGACAATCATCTGATATATGTTCTACATATACATTCCTATTAAACATATTTTCATATTAGTCATGTTGTAAGGGAGAATTAGAACCAATAGGAAGAAACACAAGAAAGAGGAAACAAAAGAAAAGAAAAGAAAAAAAAGAGCAAATAATATGCTTCAATTTGCATTCAACCTCCATAGTTTTCTTTGGATGTGGATAGCATTTTCCATCATGAGACTTTTGGAGATGTCTTAGATCCTTGCATTGCTGAGCTTTCATCACTTCTTAACATGAGGTAATGTTTATAACTTATTTAGCTGTATTTCATAGACTGAATTAAAATTGCTTGGGGTTTTTTTTCTCTCTGTTCACATAGCCTCTACAGAAGAATGGACAGATAAGCAGCATTAATGAAATACCAGAAGGACAAGGAGGAGACCCAAATAAACAGCAGGAAGAAGCAGTTATCTTAGACGGTAAGTGAAATTTGGTGTCATAGGCTGATACGTTAGTGTGCTTTGAACCTCAACACCTCTAAATGTAAGATGTATTCCAACATTACCAGAGGGATGTAATGGAGAAAGCAAACAAAATACATAAAATGTTTCTTTGAATGTTCTTGGTAGCCTCTATTTCTTGGAAGAAGTACCATGCCATAATTTATATATTTGTAAAGCTTGGTTTCCCACTCTTAGGCATTCTTTTCTGGTAGGTTAGGCTGATACTTTGTTGATTTCTCTGCAGTCCCTTGGCTTATTATGTTTAGTGAATGTGAATTCTTATGGAAATGCTGAATTGGTTGCTTTGTAATAGTTAATACCTCTTCATTAGGGGTAGATCTGTTATACTTGCACATTTTTTCTCTGTCGTATACATTTCATTTGAAAAGAATCCTCATTTTTGTTCAAACATCTATGTTCTGCATGCTATTATAGTTGCAAGAAAAGCTAGAATCAAACAGTGCCTTGGGACTGGTAATTGGATATCAAGCCTTTCACCACTGGGTTGCTGGCTTAATTTTTGCCAAAACTGAACAGAGTAGAGCCTCAACATTATTACTTTTGAAAGTTTCTTAATCTTTTAGAAATGTGAGTATGGGGAGGAAACATTTATAATAAATAGCCCTGCTTGGGGAAAAATCATAGTGCCCTTTATAAAAATTGAGCTCTAACACCTTGATCAGCAGGCCTCATGAGAATGACCATATGTTGAACCAGAGTAAACCACTTTGCAGATTATTCAAAATAAATTTGATTCCTATTTTAAGGAAATTTTCCCACTACACTGTCTTCATATTGTAAATACGTATCTTGGTACAATCTTGTTTCAGTTTGGTATATTTTGTAACAGGCATTTTAAAGGAAAAGGGGGGGGAATATCTTCCTTTTAAAAAAAATTATGAAACTGAAATATTTTCCTTTTGTCTAAAGGAGATTAGTGATTGGCTCCTAATTCCCATTATGTAGAGCCTGTTTCTCATCTTCTTCAGTGCCCTGCAGAGTTGCTTCAGGCATGGAGCTCCTTTTGAAATCAGTGGGAACTCTGAGCCTGCTCAGCACCACAGGCATGATTTAAAGTGAAAAATAGACGTAGTCCCGTACATGTAATTATGTGTACAAAGTAGATGGTCATAGACTCAAATTCCAGCAACTCAGAGTGCACTTGCCTAACACATTCAGAAGTGCCAGTCTGTCTCCTTTCCAAATGCAATAAGTTGGAAGTTACTTAATATATTTATTGCCCAGAGTTGTGCTCTAGGCCCTTTTTTAGGCAGTATGGGGGTATTATATGGCAGTATTAAAAATTATTATGGCTTTCTACTAGACTCAGGAGTTTATAATCTAGTTTGAGAAACAAGATGTGAATATGGGGGAAGTTAAAGGACAAAGATTTTAATCACAGTTCCAGACAACAGAAAAGAATACGTGATTAGCTGTCAAAGAAGCCTTGCTTAAAACTGCCATAGAGAAGAGAGAAAGCTTTTCAGACTTTCAAACAGGAGAAAGTTGTATTTGAAGTTGATTTTGGGGAATGGGGTGAATTTAGATTGGTGGAAAGGAAAAGGTATAAATCCAAACCAGGTGGTGTGAGGCTTAAACCAAAGCTGGGAGCCATAATTGAAAGCATTTAATTATTTAAATTAAGTTGATTTGACTTGAAGAGGGATGATTTGCATAAGGGTGGGATAATGCTGGGAAGGTCTGTGGCTAGATTATGGATCCACCTTAACTCTGGGCTTCTTTCTGGAATTATAGCTATCTTCCCTCCCTCCCGGTCCTCTTTGGGGCTTTCCTCTAAATTAATCTCTCCCTCATAATGGAATTTAAATAGAGGGAGGAACTAGAGGGAGTGAGGTCACCCAGTGGATAGACTGCTGGACCTAGAATGAGGAAGATCTGAGTTCTAGTCTTGCTTAAAACATCAACTAGCTATGTGACTCTGGGCAAGTAATTCAACAGCTGTTTGCCTCGATTTGTAAAAATGGGGATAATAACACACCTACGTCACTGGGTTGCAGTGAAGTTCAATTTAGATAATATTTATAAAGTACTTAGCACAGTTCTTGGCACATAATAACTGCTTTGAAAATGTTTATTCCCTTTCCTTCCTTTACTTCATTTGATAGTATATTTTTTCAAGAATACATAAACATCCCTACTAATTTCCCCTTTATATGGTTAGTATTGTTTAGGTTAACTTTTTTGAAATGCAGAGGGGTGGAGGTCGAGAATAGATTTCAAAAGAGGAGGAGAAGGAGAATTTTTCTTGAATGTGGCATAATTTAAAAATATTCAATGTTGGCACCAAACTTAATGAGCTTAAGATTTATTTCAAGGGAAGAAAGAGAACTTTGGTTCTTTTTCTTCAATTAGCCCTTGCTCTGTGGATATATATTCATACATTTAAGAAATTTGATCTAAGATGGTGCAAAAAAAAAATTTAAGCCTTACTTTTGATACCTAAATTTTAAGAATAAAAAGCAATCAAAGGAAGAGATGGGAAGACACTCCCCTTCGGGGAGGTAGAAGACCCACAAATGTTACACATTGTACATATTTTCACTTTCTAAATGTATCAGTTGTGCTGACTTTTCCTCTCTAAAAAAAATTTACCAATTGTCTGGGGTGGGAGGCGGGGGATATCATGGTGATGTAAGAAACAGAAAACATCAGTAAAAAATTGAACAAAACAAAAAGCACTGACCAAACTAACTTGCTCAATTAACTAAAATACTATTTTCTATGAAGTCTTCCTTGGATCCTCAGTCCTCCCTCTCCCACTTGACCCTTCTTATATAACAAAGGAAAAATTGTGCAAAAATGCCTGATGCCATGACCAGCTTCAAACAATGCATGTGGCATTCTGACTAACTAATAACTACCCTTTTGTGGAAAGGAAGGAGAGGTTTATTTCATTATCTTTCAGGGTCCGATTTCTTTTCAATTGCTCAGAAAAAAAATCTTGACTTTTTTAGTGATCTTTTCATTTACATTGCTTTGTATATGTTTTAGATTCTGTCTTACTCTGTACCAGCTCATGCAAATTTTTCAATGTTATTTTTTATTCATTGTTTGTTTCGCAATAAAAAATATATTCATGCATCAATGTATTTCAGGTATTCTTCACTCAGTAGTCACATTTCTTGATATGGAAATGAAAATTATACAGGGACAGATAAAAATTAAACCTGTTTTCTTTTTTCCACTACCAAATCCTTTATATCTACATCATGTATAAACTTTAGCTTATATTATTTTTATTTTTTAATTTTTAATTTTCAAATTTGAACTCTCTCTCTTTCTCATCTCCCCATTCTTCTTCCTACCCCCAATAAGAAAGCGAGAAAAAAACCCCGTCTTTATAAACATTTGTAGTCAAGCAAAAGAAATTCCCACATTGGCCATGTCCCCCCCCAAAAAAGTATATATGCCTCAATACTGTACTCTTGGGTCTATCACCTCTATCAAAGGGTGGATAGCATGTGCCATCTTGAGGCCTCTGGAGTTTGTGATTGGTCATGATATTGATCAGCATTCCCAAGCCTTTCTAAGTTGTTTGTTTTTATATTATTCCTGCTAAGATAAATTGTTCTCCTGGTTCTCCCCACCTCACTCTCATGCATGCCGTTTGGACATAACCACTACATACTAGTTTCAATGATGAAGGCAATTATGATAAATTTATACTGAAGTAAGTAGGAATGTGGGCATTCTGCTTGAATTTGCATCTAAGGACTCTTAAAATTCTATTTTTATTACAATGATAAACATCTCTATTGTTTGGATATCCAGTTTAGTTTATTGGTTGTAGTTTCTTTCAGACACTAGTCTATCCTCTCTTGGAGATAATACTCAGATTTTAGTTTTCTTAATTGTATGAACATTTTAGTTTGAGCTCACCAACTCCTAAGGTTTGGTTCATTTGGGACTTGAAAAGTGCAAAGTACTGTTGCCAAATAATCACTAGAGTCTTCGATTCAGAGAATGCACTCCTTACCTAAGAGAAGTTCTCTAATTTTGAGCACAAAATCACTTTTTGACATTATGGTTTGGGTCTTTGAGTTGTACTTTCAAAGTACTCAGAATATAATCCTTTTTCTTTGAGATGCCTTTCCTTGTTCAGACCTTTTTCATTTGTGAGTGACTCTTTTGGGGTTTTCTTGGCAAAGACACTGGAGTGGTTTGCCATTCCCTTCTTCAGATGGGGAAACTGAGGTTAAATGGCTTGCCCAGGGTCACACAGCTAGTAAGTTTCTGAGGTCAGATTTGAACTCAGGTCTATCCTAACTCTAAGCTTGGTGCTCTGTCCACTGAGCCACATAGCTGCCTGATGTCTTTACTTGGTAAAATGTAAATGACCAAGAAGTTGAATCCTACTTCAGCATATATATGGCCATTTTTTGTTCCAAATGGGAGATTACAGTTGGCACCGATACTATGAACATTTATCAGGGCAGTGGCTATCATACCTTGTACAGTTCTCTGCACATGGTAGTTATTAATAAATGTTTTCTTTAATGAAAGTTTATCACTTAGTCTTTCAAGCAAGTCATTTGCATAATCATTTTGAGAAGAGAAACAATCCATTATCTCCTTAATGATTATATCCTTTAACTTGAATTTGTTTAAATAACAAAGTGGTAATTCACCTTCCAGATAATTAAACCACTTCATATATTTAAGAATGGATTACTCTTTTTGATTTTTGTAGTAGATTTTTTAAAAAATAGATGCTTTTCAGAATTTGGGGTTTTCATAGAAACCTACCAGGTTTTGCTTGGAAACATGAAATCAAACATTGACCTTTGTGTAATTAAAGAAGGACTCCTAGTAGTGCTGTCAGCTATGATTAGTGGTTGGATAAGGGGGGGGGGAGTCGGGAGAGGATTGGGGGGAGAGTGTGAGTGGTGAGTTCACCCCTCTCTCAGCCCTCCTCATGCACACATTCGATCTTTTCAAATACAGATCACCCTTCT